ATAAATAAAATAATTCTTTTATTTTTATTTAATTATTTAGTTTTTATATTTTAGTTTTTATCTTTCTTTAGTTATAGTCTTCTTTGATTAATAGTAATTTTACTATTTAATCATTTCAAATCTTGAATTATATCAATTACTAGTGGCTTTACTCAGTTAATCTTTATAATTTCTTGGATTTATTCTTTCTTTCTTTATTTATTTTTCCCTTTATTAAGATAATATTTGTAGATATTGACATAGATCTTAGAAATCTTTATCATTATTGAAAATATAGTCTAATTTCTCTCTCTTTATTCTTTAATTATTTCAGTCTCTCCCAATTCTATATCATTAAGATGAATTCAAGTGAAAATTCACTTACCAATTTACTGTAATAGTATTTATAAAAATAGTGATTATATTAATTATATTGATATTTAAATTAGTAATAGCATTAATTATATTGATAGAATTAGTATTTGACATCATATTGATATTTAATTATATATTTTCTGTAGATGAATTGGCATTAAGTGAACTTGTATTAGCAATTTTTGGTTTTTCAAAGCTTATACTAAAAAATATTTATTTAGTTTTAATTAAAGCATTTGAATATATACACAGATATAACTTATATCAAATTACTGAATTATAGTATTGACATTTAGAATTTTTACAGTATTTAGATTCTGCAAGCTATTGTCAAAATCTAGTAATATGACCAATTTGATTAAAAATATTCTCTTATAGAACTTCAAGAAGTCATAATGATAATATTTTATAATATTTATTTAAAATATGTATAACAATAAAGATATAGATGTAAATATTGTTATTCATTAATTTTTCTGATTTATCATTATTTATTAAGTACAAATATCTTAAATGATAATAATTTATGAACTTAACCATATGTTTAATTATGTATAGGTATTTATAATATTAATTAGTAACTATGTACTTAATATATATAGGCACATCTCTAGGTATGTATGTAGTATATGTAGAAATTACATATTAGTACCAGTGATTTACTTCTTTTAGTATCATGTTTTTAATTTTTTAATGTCAGAATTCTGTATTCAGGATTTTTGTGAGTTTGAGATTGCATTTGTTGGATTAATCAATTGTCAAGATTATTGTTATCAGAATTTCATACTCAAAATCTTCTAAAAAATTGTAATAATATTACCATTTTTCTTAAAAATGGTCTAAAAAGTTATCTCAAAACTAAGATAATTAATAGATAGACTTTTACTAAAGAAGCTGAAAGAATTTTTAGGACTCCATCAAAAAAAGAAAATAAGTTTATATCTTCTCAAAATTACAATAATCATCATATTTTGATGACCTCATTTCTATAGCATTTGTATCTTATTTGAAAAAATACTTTTCTCAAAAACTATCTGAACAAGTTATTCAAAAACAAAAAAATCATAATAAAATGAATCTTTATCAAAGAATTAAAAGGCTTTTTAGAACTCCATTGGGAATAAAAAAAGATTTATATATATGTTCTCAAATCATTTCTATTTTTGATATCATTCCTAATACCATTAGAAACTAACAATTTTATTCGAAGATTTTATTATAAGCAATCTAAGTAAATTATTCAAGAAATTGAAAAACTTTTAGAGTTTAACAAGAGTAGAGAAAATTCATCAATATCGATGATGCTTTCTTTTTGCCAATGATCAACACATTTTGATGACATCATTCTGTATACCCCTAACATTAATTAAGTTCACATGTGATAAATGCCAACCAAACAAACATAACAATTATTATAAAACTGACCGCAACTACAAATATATGAATTACAGTTTGCACGGAAGTAATTTTCTAAGTAGGGCAACATACTCTAAAATAAATCAACACGTGATATATCTTCCCTTCCAAGTTTGAATGTAAATTGACATGTTAAGTATTACTAGCAATATTTTCTTTCATAATCTATCGAATGAGATTAAATTTAATTGTACATATATTAACAAACGAAAAATTAAACAAAGTTAAAGAGTAATTTCGTATGTTCGAAAGTAATAAATACAAATGAAATGATAATTACTCAATGAATTTATTTATTTATCTCATTTAAAATTATTATTGTAAACTATCATAAATCCTGGTGAATAATCACCCTCTTTTTGCAATGGAGTAGCCAAAATTACTAATAAAGCTGGTCAAAATGGTTATTATGCGGCCAAGTGTACTTACTTTCAGGGAGTACTTACTCACAGGATTTTGCTGTTTAAATATACATAAATTTAAAGTTAATAGAAATATACACTTGAGTAGAAAAGTAATTAAAATAATTTTTTGGTTCGCTGTGATTCTCGTTAAAATCACGTCCGTACTGGTGACAAGTAAGCGAAAAATATAGCATATGTCGGCATAAATTAACAGGTTATTTATCATTTCTTGTGCACATCTCAACAGATACATACAACTAATAATATGTCCACCATTACATTCCGTGCAGACTGTATAGAAGGTGCGTGTTATTTCGGAACGCCCATGGACATTACTTTGAAACTTTGTTTGCTATTTTAAAATTACGATTTTCGAAATAACGTCCATAGGCGTTATTTCGCGAAAATACGGAAATGATATATATGCTATATCGAGTATATTTCTTCAAAACTTGACAAATAAAACTAGATTTTATCAACCTGTGCAAATTTGATGTTTAAACGAAGAGTTCAAAAAATCGAACATGACCCAATAAGAAACGAAGCAATTTCGGTATGATAAGCAACCAATTTCATCAGATTTGGCCAAAGAAAACAACTCATAAATAGATTATTACAATCAACATGTTTTGGTGCAGGAATTATTTTAAAATAAATAATTATAAGACTTTAGAAAAGACAAAAGGAAAAAATAGATAAGTCTCAATGTTTAGTTTCAAGCTGCTTTTTGTATAAGCTCTCATTGATCAGCTTAATGATTTCCGGTATAACTTCGAAAAGTGAATGTATCGTTGCCGTCATAACAAGAAATCCAAAATTTTGGAATCATGCGAGAAAATCTTAAACTTGTACCCTAATTAGTGATGTATCTATAAGTAATTATTTGTATTGTTCCGCACTACCTGAACAAAATTCCTTACCTTTATATATAGTATTAACATTAATACCGCTTCGCAAATTTCTTAAAAAAGTCCTTGCTTTGTGTTATCAACATTAACGTACATCCTGTAATAATAATAATTTCTTACAAAAATACTGATTTTGCGAACCCAAGATTTGATTATCATTAGAAATTTCTTATAAAAGTTCGTATCGTACGTTATTCTTTTGCTTATCGAAATGTTTATTTTTTTATTGTTCATAATAATTTTACTTTATTTTTACTTTAAAATTTATTAATTTCTTTTATATTGAAGTATGATCATATTCCTTTTTGTAAAAACTTTCACAATTTGCACTTTAGTCCGCGGATTCAGTACTGAATTATGATCGATAATTTAGTTATAGCCAAATTGTATATGAAGGTTGGTTCTCGAAGGTCTGAGAGATAGGAAATATGTGGTTTGAAGAAAAATAAATAAATAAAAATTATTCAACTCTTATCTAATAGAGCTTCGACTTTATTTCTTTTCTTAACAAAATCGATAGCTTTATTTCTTTTGTGCATTCTTTGATTATCCTGTTATAATTTATATTATTCTTTGGAATAAACCTATTTCTTTTGGAGATCTGTTAGTAAACTTTTGTAGTTATTTTGTTATTAAGTATGGTGCAAAAGTCTAAAGACATCAAATATTTAATTAATATTTTAAATTGTAAAGAGATTTTATTTTATATATATAAATATTAAAACAAATATCTTATATTCTATGATATTACATATTTATTTTGTTTGTTGTTTTATAAAAAATACTTGTAGTTAGTCATTTTTTAATGTCAATTTTAATAGTAATAATCAAATTTTCAGCGCCTGATATATCACGTGCACTATTTTTGATTGGCTAAATTTCAACATGCAAAATTTATTTTAGAATTGCATAAATTAAACTTAGCATAGCACATGATACCTTATTTGGAAATAATAATTCGATTTTAGCATCTTATTTGGAAATGATAATCCTTCAAAATTTCAATGGTGGTGCAATATTTGATGTGACTAAGCTGCTGTTTGCACCAAATTTTGCAAACAATTGGTTGTTGTTTTTATAGAATTAAAATATTATTTTATACTTTATCTTTGTCCTTGAATTTCTTTACTTTCGATTACATAATATCCGTGTAAGATTAGCATTATGAGACCTTTAAGAATCTCACTGCGTAAATCATTCAGTCTAACCCCCCGGAACTTTAATTGACAACAATATTTTTGATATTATATGTAATCGGACGATCAAACCAATTATATGTACATGTAGCACATGTATCGGTATTACAAAAATGTGACGATCCGGAGTAATGAATATTTTTGGAGAAATAATCAATTTAGTCCCTAATCCGGGAATAATTAATATTTTTCGGAAAATACATGTATATGTAATAATAAGTTCAGTCCCTATAAAGGACCGAAAATGTGACGATCCGGAGCAATTAATTTTTTTGCAGAAAATACATGTAGTATCAATAATTGACGACCCGGAGTAATTAATATTTGTAGTGATCAATTTAGTCCTTATAAAAAGACCGAGAACAATATTGCTTTTATTAAAAATCCTTCTTTTCAATATCTTTTAGCTGAAAATATGCTCGATACTTATTTTTTTGAACAACAAGATGGCTCACGAATTGCATACAAGATTCTTGAATCGCGCAAGTTGGAAGATTTGAAAAATGAACCTCCACTTGTGTTAATCATGGGATTGTAAATATTCTAATTCTTAGAAGCTTTAGATATTTTAATTATTTATTCTAATTTTCAATTGAAATACATTGGTTAAGGTGGGCTACTAAAGAGCTTTTTATGGGTCTAGAAGAAGGTTATGTATAGATAATTTTATTTTGGGTATGAAGTTTCTTGCGTATAGAAAAGAGGCTGATATCAATTTTAATTATTATTAGAATTGGCCAAACATCGAAAAGGTTTGTCATATTTCCTTATTCATCCTATTTATCTTTAAAATTCATTCTCGACCAATATACAAATTGTTCATTCATCAGTAATCTTGTTTGATAACCGTGGCATGGGAGAATCGAGTGTTCTTAATGCTAATGATCCGATCTCGATTGATTTGATGGCGCAAGATACAATTGCATTGGTCAAGCATCTTGGAATTAAACGATTTAATCTGTTGGGATACTCTATGGGAGGTAATGTTCAAGATCTAAATATTTAACATATGTGCTTCAAATGGTGGTTTTGATTCAGATCTTTGGTTTCGGTATATATTGATTTTATAGGTTCTATTGCACTTAGCGTTGCCTTGAACGTTCCATCGGATCTTAAACTGGAGAAACTGATTCTTTGCGCATGGCATGTAGAATATTTTTTGGTTGATTTATAAAACCATCTATTAACTTGTATTCTTCATTCCTGATACATACAGTGCATCTCAAACTTTGCCGAATCCGTTCTTCGAAGCTCAGTATAACTTAGCAGAATTTGATTACCCGAAAAGCGTCCAAGAACAAAAGGACATGCTCATGAAAATTTTTGAAAAAGGAGCCGCTGATTATATGCTTGAGCATCCGGACAAGTTTGATAAATTTGTAGAAATTGCGTTCAAAATTCGTCGTCCACATGAGATTTTCAGTTTCGTATATTTTTATTATGCTTATGATTCGTCTCGAGATTGAAAAATGAAAATTTGGTTTATTTGTAGAACGACAATGGGAGGCTATAAAACATATGGATTTTGTTTCGAGATTCCAAGCAATCAAAGTGCCAACTTTAATAATTCATGGTGAAGACGACGAAATAATTCCTATTCAGCAAAGTGAATTGCTTGCTCGTGAAATTCCTAAGAACAAGTTTTTGAGGATCCCAAACGTTGGACATTCGTAAGTGCAAATTTCAATTTTCTTTCAAAATTCCATTAAAAAGTTATTCACAGTTATTTGAAATTTTAAGGCTCTTTCTATTGGAGATTGAATCCCTTGATTCAATCAATAATTTTTTGCTTGATGGACGCTTGATGAAATCATGATGTCGAAATTCCATTTTAAACTATAAAATATTTTTTAATATTGACTGATCATGATTAAAAAAATATGTAATCGAATAATATCTTATATAATATTTTATGTATACTAATTAAGCAAACCTATATCAGGTATCAGTTGTCATAATAAAATTAATAATATTTATGATCGTGATCTATCCGGGTTTGCAAAGAGAGTTTGATATGCTGTTACGTGAGGAATTAATAAAAGTTAATTTGCGTATCTTTTGGATTATAGGAGTTGGGAGAGAGTTTATTAAAGTCGTGTAGATTTTGGTTCCTTTACCGATATCATTGAGCAAAGTGAATATGGAGAGTATCTTGAGTAATACTTCTGCATGATTTCCTCCCTAAGTTTGATCGCGATTCTAACGGATGCTTTTTCTAGATAAAGGCCTTAAACTCTTCAATCTAATAATTACGATGCCTTTTCTGGGCTAAAGATCTAACCAAAAATATATCGATGTTTACACTTTTTTGCGTAAATGATCTAACCAATAAACGGAATAACGATTACAAGCAGCGAAGGGGGAAGAATCGTACGCGATTCTGGCAGAGTATCGGTAAGTGTTGCTTTGTTAGTAAGTAATGGGTAAAAAGTAATTAATTGTTATTCGTTATTTTAATTATTGATTATTAATTAATTATCTTATTTACTTTTTAAGTACACCGTTTTATACATTTTTTTATGTTATTATTCGACCATTACATTATTAAGGTCTTTCACATGCGTTTTATTGTTTACAATAGAATTTAAAATATAATAATAAGAGTTTGAAAACAATTAAACGAAAAAAGTTCCTCGAAGGATAATAAATAGCGCTTGGAGTGAAAGAAAAATTACGATAGAATTTCCAAGAATGGACGTAGTTTTATCGTTGAATTTGATAAATTCACTAATTCCAGAAAAATTACGATAGAATCTGCATTGTGCACTAATTGACGATCTTACGCAAGTTATAGCGGTTTTTCAGCATTCTTTTAGCACACCATGAATCGCATAACTACAGCCCCTTTCATAAGATAGTTAGTTGCATAATTTCAGCATAATTTGCAGCGTATTTTTCGCACAAAGATTGTGTAAACGTTTGTTTCATTGTCACGACAAATGGATATGTTTTACAACATAGATTGTGTAAGATTTCTGCAAATTTTTGTCAAAACTTTCAGCACAATCATTTTTTGCTATCTTTCTTTGATATGGTATTATTTGATTGATATCATAGTAAAATATGGGATAGTTAGCTTATTCTTTAAATTTAGCACAGAAATTGTATTGATGTAATGGAAAGTTTGTGATAAGTAGTAAGAGGAAAGTAATAACGAGAAATAAAAAAAATAAATATAAGGTTTTCTTTTAAAAAGAAGTAATTGCGTACAATTCGCCCCAAATAAAAAATACAGTCAGACCGCTTTATAGTCACACCTCTTTATAGTCACCTTTTTTATAATCACCTTTTTTAAGTTTCCCAGCTACTAATTAACTATAATTAAAAAAATCTCTTTATAGTCACACCTCTCTTTAGTCATCAATTTTGCTTTCCTAAGTGTGGAGACTATAGAGATGTCTGACTGTATTTACACTTTATAAAAACGTTGTAGTGATTACAATCGTAATTGTAAGTTCGTCGTGTTGGTTAGGTTCTTTACACCAGAAAAGATAATATATTGGTTAGGTACTTTGTACCAGAAAAGACAAGTTATTGGTTAGTTTCTTTGTGCCAGAAAAGAAAACAAATTGGTTAGATTCTTTGTGCCAGAAAAGGCATTGTGTGTTGGTTAAGCCCTTGATCCAAAAAAAGGCAGCTAATTAAGTAGAATAATTTAAGGCTTTTACCTGAATAAAGTATTGATTAGAAATAATAGAATAAGCATACAATCCCTTCTTCCCTCTTTAACCTATCCCGTAACTTTCACGTTCAAAATCTTTTATTTACTCACCTTCCTCTCCATAATTCACACATTAAACAATATCTGTAGATATCTGCATAGGGCTTAGAAATAAATATTATAGTTAATCTAATTATTCTCTTCAAATTTATTATAAATAAAATGGATCACTTAATCTTATCATTATACGTGATGAGCGTTGTTTAAATTGCTAGAACTAACAACGAGTATCATTTTACCTTCTCAGCTGAAAATTCCAAAGCAAAGCGTAGCATCCAAAAATGGCGTTTATGATGCTCAGCATGAGTATTAGAACAGTTTCTTGAGCCTCTTAAAAGTAAACTAATTTTGGAACATAAACAAAAACTGGATGATAGACTTTTCCCAAAAGTTAAATTCATGATCAAGGTATTTATTATTTAGATTCTTAGAATGAAGATTCAAGCAAGCAAGGTAACCATAAATAGAATGCGTTATTTCGGCATGATTCATTGAATATTCATTAGTAACTGGATTGTCAGTTATCCCATGGCAACCAACCAATGCATTTAAGAGCGGTCCGAATCTATTTTTGAAAAATTTTATTGTATCACAAAACGAAAGCACCTTTCACTTTAAAAAATGTCCATTTTTATCTCTGGAGTAATTTGCTTTGAATTGTGTATATTTCAATAAAACTTTATTTCTCCAAGTCTTTTAAATTTATTTTTTCATGATTCCAGGAAGAGTAATATCCATTATACAATGGTCCATCCAACCAGGTTGCTTTATAATTGACCCAAAAGCCCCTTTTTGCGAGATATTCAATGTTGGTAAATCTTTCAAAAGGAATCCATTCGAATATTTCATCCCATTTATTAACTTTGTTGCATTTTTTTATAACTTATCTTCACTAGACAATAAATTCGTTTGTGATATCATCACAGTTCCAATTTTCTTGAAAACGCCAACAATTACTACAGATTATCACGCCAACTAAACCTGTATATGGGTTAATAATAAGAGCAGCCAATAATCATTTGACTTTACGAGCATAAGATAAAAGTATGTTTTTAACCTGACACATTCTGTAAAGCATACTTTTGGATTGATAATGTAATGTGCAGGTTTTATGAGAAATTCTGCATATGCACACATATAGGTTTCTAAACATATAACGATAGTATCTCACCCAATACAATACATATTGATGAATTTGCAGGTAATCATAACCCTTTTAAAGATTAACTCTTCTTTCCAAACCTACTCATAGAACATTTTTCGATGTAAATGTAGTTCGTGCAGAAGGTTTATCGTATCGTTCTCAACACGTTGGATACATGTAAATGGAATGTATCATACATGTACACTCCCCGGTCAAAAGTGTCCAACCACTTTAAAACCGGATAAAAATTCACAAACTTCAACAATTAATTTCTTGACAATTTATAAACAAACATTATAGAAAATTTATATCATTTTATTGAGAAAAACATGAATTTTATTAATATTCAATTGGATTTCCATGGCTATCTAATACTGTTTGAACCCTTCTTGGCAAACTTTCAACTAAATCTGTTAAAATTTCAGGCACAATTTTATTCCACTCCTCCAAAATTACCATTAATTTCACAATATTTTTTGGATGAGATTTATGTTCTCTAATCCTTCTTTCAAAACATCCCACAAATATTTAATTGGATTAGGATCTGAACTTTATGCAGATCATGGAAGACTTAATATCAAATTATTCTCTTTTCATTGATTGATCATTCTTGCCTTATGTATTGAGGATTATCATCTTGAAAAATATATTGTGAATTGTTTTCTAAATTATTATAAAAGAATAAAAAAGTATTTTCTAATATGTCTAAATATATATAGAACCTGTTATTCTATCTAAAACTTGAATTAAAGAACAAATTTTATCTTTCACAAAATATCTTTATATCATAACTCTTAATTTACAGATTTTACAGCTGGAATTAAGCAACTCACATCATATTTTTCATGTAATCTATACCAAATCCAATAATATGCATCATTTTGAAATAATATAAAGTGAAATTCATCATTCTAAATAATAAAATTCCATTTATCATTCTAATTTTTTCTTTCATGACATCATTCTAGTCTTTTTTACAATTTTGTTCAAAAATAAATGGTTTTTTCTTTTCAGCTCATTCATAAAATTTCTCAATATATAAAGTATGCTTTATAGTATTAGAAAATACTGAAATTAATAAAATTTTTTTGTCATTTTTTCTAGTGATTGTTGCTGATCTTCCTTATCTAATTTTACAAGATTTCTTGTTTCTCTTTCTGTGAGTTTTGATAGCCTTCTGAATGCAGAGCATGTAATATTTCCTGAATTTTTATATTTTGTTATAATATCATGAATAATAGTTTTAGAATGTTCAAGAATTTCTTTAATATTTTGTTCACTATAGCCTCCTTTCCAGAGATCTATAATCTCTCCTCATACAAACTCAGTAAATTTACACCTTTTGGATATTGTAAAAGAAAAAAAAATTTATTTTCAGGTAGCTGAAGTCAAGAGCTGCATGGAAAAAAAATTTTATTTATTCATGCTTAATAGTTTTGGCATAATCTTATTTTAAAAGGTAATGATCTGTAATCTTAAATCAGGTGGTCGGAGACTTTTGACCGGAGACATGTACGGTACATATATCTACGATATTGCAAGTCCAAAAAGAGGAATAAAATAAAAACGCATACATGTACATTTGCAGATCGTTAGCGCACAATAAATCATATCACTATCATTTCAAGCAATGCGCTTTTTGTAAAATGATCTCAACTATGGAATCAAATGCTCATCGTAACAAATGTTCGTATTATCAAAAAGATAATGGATATGATGAATATTTAGTTCACAATACTCATGATTGTAACAAATGTGCTCGTTGTCAAAAAAAGTATGACTGCAATGACTGTTTCAAATACCACAAAGAAATTTATAACAATGAATTGTCTAGCGGAGATGAAGATATCGACAGTCTAATAAAAGAATGCAACAAAATTAATAATAAATATTATAAATTATTTGAATGGATTCCTTTTGAAAGATTTATCAACGTTGAATATCTTGCAAAAGGCGGTTTTGGGACAATTTATAAAGCGACCTGGCTAGATGGACCATTAGATTATTTGTATCCTAAGTGGAATCATGAAGAAAATAAATTTAAACGAAGAGGAGAAATTGAAGTTGTGTTGAAATCATTACACAATTCAAGACAAATTACTCAAGAATTTATAAACGAGGTAAATGAACATTTTTTAATGTGAAAGAAACTTTTTGTTTTCTGACACACTCGAATTTTTCAAAAATAGATTCAGGCTGCTCTTAAATGTAGTTGGGGTTATTACGGAATAACTAAAAATCCGGCCACAAATGAATATTCAATAATGATGGATTATGCAAAAGATGGTGATCTCCGTAAATATATTAATGCAAACCACGAAAAATTGACTTGGGAAGCCAAATTAGGTTATTTATATAATATTATCAACAAGCTGGAAATCATTCATAGAGAAAAGTTTGTACATCGTGGCTTACATCCTGGCAATATATTAATAATACGTAACACTCCTCGTATTGCTGGTTTTGGACTTAGCATTTCAACCAATATGGAAAAATCTAACCAAGAAATTTATGGGGTACTTCCTTATATGAGTCCAGAAGTATTAAGGCGAAAGCCATACACAACCGCTGCGGATATTTATAGCTTTGGCATGGTTATGTACGAAATTGTAACAGGCGAACGACCATTCGGTGAGCGGAGTCATGATCATAATCTTGCATACGATATCTTCAAAGGAGTACGACCTACGTTATCAAATAATGTTCCTGGATGGTGCAAATTTATTATTGAAACATGTTGGGATCCTATTCCAGAAAACAGACCAACTACTGAGGAACTTAAAGACTTTATTCACTCTATCTACAAAGACAATGAAGTTTATTGGGTGCTGAACGATTTGCATTTTCAGTTCTATAGTTCTTTAGAATATCCTAAAACAGATGGAGATATTAAAGAGTGTCTTAAATTAGAGAGACAAAATTTAAAAGAACTTGACGAGGCGATGAGTATTCCTATAAATATAAATAAAAAACAACAAATCCACCCAAATGCAATTTACACGAGTCGAATGTTTACTTCGAAATTAATATCAATCCCAACTGATACAGGTAACATACATTTATTTTTATTTTCAATCAAAAAATAACATCTCAGATTTGTTTTAATATTTAAAACATTTAGGTTCTACAAATGTTGATTTGTATGTTCCTATTGAAGGTAAAAACATATTACTTTATATACAATATCGATATATCGATATACATGACATGTATTAAGAAGATTCTCGTTTTCACAGAATTTGATATAAATATCGATACCAAATCAACAAATGTCAATTTTTATATATCAAACGAAGCAAATGAAGGTAAAAACACTATTTTTGAAAAGTGCAAAAAGATCGATATTAAAAATGCTTGTTTGCATATGATATAGACGACGTCAAATCAACAAGCGCAAGTTTAAAAGAAAAACTACAAGCTCATAATAGTAGTAAATCCACTCCTTTTCGTCATTACTATTGTTGCAATGAGTGTTTGGATTATTACCGGCTTTACAAAACTAGGTTCTCTAGTGAAAACAAGGATATCAACAATCTAATAAAAGAATGCATGAAAATCAGAAGTCATTTCCAATGGATCCCTTTTGAAAAATTTACTAATGTTGAATGTCTTGCAAAAGGCATTTATAAAGCGTCACTATGCTATTACAAGTGGGATCGTGGAGAAAATAGATTTGTACGATCTAATTACGAAGTTGTACTAAAATTACGTGATTCAAAGCAGATTATAAAAGAGGTAAAAATTGTACAATTTTTAATGTGCAAACAAGACTTTTTTATATAATTAAATTATTCAACAATAGGTTCGGACTGCTCTAAATTACAGTGATGATTACTTTGGAATAAATTATTATGGAGTAACAAAAACCCTCGCTACGAATGAATATTCGATAGTAATGGGTTATACAAAAATAGACTATAGGGGAGAGTTAGATCTTCATAAATATATTAGTTCCAACTATGAAGAGTTGACGTATGAAGAAAAACTGAAATACTTATCTTGGATTATCTCTTCTTTAAGAAAAATTCACGAAAAGCAATTGATGGATAGTGACTTTCACCCTGGAAATATATTGTTGCATATTGATGTTTTCAATGCCAACTTTGGTACCAGCCCAGCAGTTATAAAAAATCAAGTAATTTACGGAATACTTCCTTATATGAGCCCAGAGGTATTAAGTGGAAAAAGATACACTATAGCTGCAGACATTTATAGCTTTGGGCTCATTATGTACGAGATTGTAACTGGCAAAACGCCATTCTGTGAACGAAGTTATGATAGAGATCTCGTATTAGATATCTATAAAGGAGTGCGGCCTATGATACCTAATAATATTCCCGGATGTTGCAAATTTATTATTGAAAAATGTTGGGATCCTATTCCAGGAAACAGACCAACTACTGAGGAACTTTATTGGTTTATCTACTCTATCTTTTCTGATTCTGAAGATTATTGGGAGCTGAATTCTTTACATTTTCAGTACTACAGCTCGTTAAAATCTACAAATGAAATTATAGAGTATCATAGAGTCGAGAGAAGGAATTTGATGTTGCAAGCTGCTGATGTTTATGACTTTGGAACGATTTTGTACGAAATTGTTACTGGTGAATCATTTTATAAAGAGAGTCATCACGATAAAGAACTTATATACAACATTTATAAAGGAATACGACCTATGGTACCAAGTTATATTCCCGGATGGTACAAATTTATCATTGAAAAATGTTGGGATCCCATTTCAGAAAACAGACCAACTGCTGAGGAACTTAAAGACTTTATTGGATCTATCCTCCTTCCATTTACTTACAAGAAACTGAATGTCTTGCATTTTCAGTATTACAGTTCTATAGAATATCCTAAGACAAATGAAGAAATTAAAGAGTGTCTTGAATTAGAATCTAAAAAATTAAAAAACCATGACAAGGCGATGAAGTTACAAAAAAGTATTCCTACAAATGTAAACAAAAAACAAAAAATCCACTCAAATGCAATTTACACCCCTCAAATGTTTACTTTAAAATTAGTATCAGTCCCAACTGATACAGGTACGCATATTTATTTTTTATGCGATCAAATTGACATTCAGATTGATTGAAATATACCAAATATTTATTTAGGTTCTGCAAATGTTAGTTTGTATGTTCCAAATGAAGGTAAGATAAAATTGCTATTTTCCATAAAAATAAGTAAAATCGATATTAATATATTAAAGACGCTTGTTTTCATGTGATAAAGATATCAATGTCAAATCAACAAGCACAAATTTATATGTAGCTGACGAAGCAAATGAAGGTAACCACATCACTATTAGACATTCTTTTTTATTAATTAATTTAATTCATTACTTTTTTATGATTTAAAATCCAATACAATTAGATGAAATTAAAGAGAATGCGAGGCACATACAAGAAAAACTAAAAATTCATGATTGCAATAAATGCACTCGTTGTCAAAAAAATGATCGTTGCCGTGGATGTTTTGACTACCACTATCAACGTTATAAATCTGAATTAACTAGCGAAAGCAAAGATATCGACAGTCTTATAAAAGAAAGCATGACAATCAGAAGGCATTTTCAATGGATCCCCTTTGAAAAATTTGCCAATATCGAATATCTTGCCAAAGGTATTTATAAAGCATCACTATACTATTACAATTGGAATCATGAAGAAAATGAATTTAAACGATCTAATGAGGATAAACGCGAAGTTGTGTTGAAATTGCGTGATTCAAAACAAATTCTAAAAGAGGTAGAAATTGTACAATTTTAAAGTATACACAGGACTTTTTTTAATATAATTAAAACTTTTCAATAATAGGTTCGGATGGCTCTAAGCTACAGTGATCATTACTTTGGAATAAGTTATTATGGAATAACTAAAAACCCATTAACAGACGAATATTCGATAGTAATGGGTTATCCAGAAGAAGATATAATGTATGATATCAATTGTAATATTCACAAATATATTAATTCCAACTACAAGGAATTAACTTGGGAAGAAAGATTAAGATATTTACAGTATATTGCCTGTGCTCTAAAAAAAATATACGAAAAGAAACTAGTGGATAATGACTTTCACCCTGGAAATATATTGTTTCATATTGATGCTTTTATTACTGATTTTGGACTTACCGACACAGCAGATATAAAAAATCAAGAAATTTACGGAATACTTCCCTATATGAGTCCAGAGGTATTAAGTGGAAAACCATACTCTAAAGCTGTAGATATTTATAGTTTTGGGATGATTATGTACGAGATTACAACAGGTGAACGACCATTCGATACGCGGAGCCATGATAAAGATCTTGTATTAGACATCTATAAAGGAGTGCGACCTACGATACCAAATAATGTTCCCAAATGGTGCAAATTTACCATTGAAAAATGTTGGGATCCTATTCCTGAAAACAGACCAACAGTTGAGGATCTGAGTGATTTTATCTTATCTATCCTCGATAAAGGCTATGTCAACTATAGTTGGTGGAAACCGGATACTTTGCATTTTCAGTACTACAGTTCTTTAGAATATCCTAAAATCAAAAAGTATCTTAAATCAGCAAGTAAGATGTTTGCGAAGATGAAATCACAAATAATTATTCCTAAAAATACAAACAAAAAACATCAAGTTCACTCAAATGCAATTTACACCAGTCGAATCTTTACTTCGAAATTAATACCAATATCAACTGATACAGGTACACAATTTGTTTTTTATATTAAATCAAAATGACATTGATTAAACATATCAAATATTTATTTAGGTTCTACAAGTGTCAGTTTGTATGTTCCAAATGAAGGTAAATTCACTTTACATTTGATATTATTCTCATCAATTTCTGGCCATCTATTAATTTCATTGGTTTTTTTTGGTGATGGGAACAGATTTTGATATTATTATACCACACGAAATCGAAAAAAATGAGGATATGCCTGAGTAATTTGCAAGAAAATCATGGCTTTGGACATTTACTTTAGCTGATTTTATAACTAAAGTGATTTCAACTTTATGTGTCTACGCGTCCATTTATTATTATAACCGTTATCAAAATTTATGATTTATATGCGTATTTAAGTTGTTTTCATGGAGAAATAAATGTTTTTGTCTAGTTTCCATTATCGTATAATGTTAGGGTTTAGACAAATGAGTCTTTTACGCGTACACACTACTAAACCTATTTATGTATAAATCACTCTATAACGGAAAGAGTATCAACGAATCAAAACATTTAATGCAAACATTGTGTTAAAATCGTTACGTATTTTTTAAAGCATACCAATACGTCGTAGCTACAATATTGTAACTAAGAATCATGCTAAAACGAATACTCGAATAGCAATGGATAGAGATCAGAGATAAGGAGCAATTGAGACACTGGTGTTCAGAAGTATTTTTGATATATCGATGTGTGTTAATCAGTCGATCAAATCAATTGCATATATTATCGTTATTTAGCTCATACTGAAACCTGATTATATGGGCCGAAAATGTGACAGTCAGAAGTAATTTAAAGACCGAAAAAATATTGCTGTTTATTACATATTCTCTTTTTACTGAAATATGCTCGAGACTCAATTTTTTGAACAACAAGATGGTTCACGTATTGCATACAAGATTCTTGAATCGCGCAAGTTGGTAGATAAAAATGAGACTCCCCTTGTGTTCATCGTAGGATTGTGAATATTCCATTTTAGAATTTTTTAGATGTTTTAAATTTTATTTTATTCTAATTTTTCAATTGAAATACTTTGATTAAGGTGGGCTGTTAAAGAGGTTTATATGGAACTGGATGAAGGTTAAGTATAGATATCTTTATTTTGGGTCCTTGTATAAAGTTTCTCACGTATAGAAAGTAGCTGATACCGTTTTAAATGATTATTAGAATTGGCCAAACATCGAAAAGGTTTGTCATAGTTCCTTATTCATCCTATATATCTTTAAAATTCATTCTCGACCAATATACAAATCGTTCATTCACCAGTAATCTTGTTTGATAATCGTGGAATGGGAGAATCGAGTGTTCTTAATGCTAATGATCCGATCTCGATTGATTTGATGGCGCAAGATACGATTGAATTGATTAGGCATCTTGGAATTAAACGATTTAATCTGTTGGGATACTCTATGGGAGGTAATGCCCAAAATCTAAATATTTAACATATGTTCTTCAAATGGTGGTTTGATTCAAGATCGTTATTCTTTGTATTTTTAATTTTATAGGTTCTATTGCACTTAGCGTTGCCTTGAACGTTCCATCGGATCTTAAACTAGAGAAACTGATTCTTTGCGCATGGCATGTAGAATATTTTTTGGTTGATTTATAAATCATCTATTACTTACATTCTTCATTCCTGATACAGTGCATCTCAAACCCCGCCGTATCCGGTTTTCGAAATTTGGTATAACCTTACAGAGCTTGATTTACCGAAAAGCGTCCAAGAACAAAAGGACGTGATGATAAAAAGTCTTGAAAAAAGCTCTTCTGATTATCTGCTTAAGCATCCGGACAAGCTTGATAAATTGACGAAAGTCATGTTCAACACTCATCGTCCATTTGAGATTTTCAGTTTGTACATTTTTATTATGCTTAAGATTCGTCGTCTCGAGGTTGGAAAATGACAATTTGGTTTATTTGTAGAACGACAGTGGGAAGCTATGAAACTTATGGATCTCGTTTCGGGATTCCCAAAAATCAACGTGCCAACTTTGATAGTTCATGGTGAAGACGACGAACTAGTTCCTATTCAGCAAAGTGAATTGCTTGCTCGTGAAATTCCTAAGAACAAATTCACGAGGATTCCAAATGTTGGACACATGTAAGTGCAATTTCAAATTTTCCTTTTCAAGCGCCTCCATTAAAAGTTATTCACGCGTTATTTGAAATTTTAAGGTTTTTTTTATCGGAGCCTGAATCCCTTGGTTTCATCAATGACTTTTTGCTTAATGAAAGTTTTTAATGAAATCATGACGTCGAAATTCCATTTTAAACATCAAAAGATCATTTAGTTTAATATTTAATGTTTAACTGACCATAATAAAAAACTATGTAGTCGAAATAGCATATATACATGTTGTGATACTTTATTAGAAATATTCACACCTTGTCGTTATACATCTAGCGATACGATGGCCTCAAAAGTATCACACAATCAAAAATTCTATAATATTTAAGACTCAAGAAACTAGTATAGCTTTAATTATAAAATCATGAAGAAATTTTTTATGCTACTATCAATGTAATCGGAATCGAGCGATACTGTATAACGTCATAAGATTGCTTTATAAATTGATCCAACTCAAGATATTCAATGTTGATAATTGTTTCCAAAGGGATCCCATTCAGAACCTTTAACGTTAATTCTTTCAATGTTATATAGAAACATCAACAATCAGTACGTTTACCATATTATTAATTATTATAAACTGATTACTTTATATTTCGACAATACCATGATTATACGGTTTAATATATAAATTGTTATTTACAGTGGAAATTATCGATTTCATGAAATATAATCGATTTTGATTTATGAAAATCGATATTATTATATATCATACTCTAATAGATTAGACATGTATACGTACATTGAAAAAGTACAAAGGAAGCATATGAATAAATAAATGTTGTATAGAAGTCTATTAATTTTTGCATAAATATATTTCATGATTTTATAATTAAAACAGTTCTTGCACCTTAAATCTACCGCAGATAAGCTTCATTTTCTTTTGAATTTAGAAATAATTACTAAATGAAATATGAATATATACGTAGCTTGAAAATTTCTTTTCACTTTGCAATAAATACAATCCTTGAATTTAAATTGCCACCAGTCTTGTTTTATTTTTCCAAAAATACATTAGCCTTAAAATGATATAAAATTTAGAAAAAACTCCTAAAAACAATATGAACATGCATACAGCTTGAGAATTTCCATTGTTCATATGTTTTACCATATAATTTTGAACCGGATGATACTTTTTGAGATACTGAACATATATGCCAAAAGGAATAGATCGTATTCGTTGACAAGAGATAACGATAAATTTGAAAGCCATACTTATATGGTTTATAATGAGTGATAAAGAAAGTGAAGTTTATGATAAAACTCTCGAAGAAAGCTCCATTTTTGATTTTCATTGTTTAGTTCTAATAGTGGAAATTCCTACAGTTTTTGTAAGAGTAAATCGAAGCATCTGAACGTAGACGGAAATACAAAAAATCTAAGTTGGTTATAGAAACAATTTACGTTATTAACGACGAAAAATATATACAACCCGTTTTCCCGATTTCAAAGTCACACGGGTGATCCGGATGATAAATTTGCATCGGAACCTATTCTCTAATTTGGAAAACTGGATTCATAACAATGCTATCTATTTGTTTACAATGATATTTTTCTTATTAGGGAATTTTATTCTTTTCATTGTCCTATTTTTTTTACTCCCTATAAACTTTATTTTCTATTACGTAATGCGTCAATATCGTCTTTAAACAGACAAATTTTTTGATTCATGATTAGGAAAGAACATGAATGTATTTTTTTATGAAGGTTTATATTAAGATCCAAAAATGGTCGATAATGATACGGAACTTTCTAGCAAATATGAGGTGAATATATGTAGAAAATGAAACCAATTAAGAAATGCGTTAATTACGGAAAAAGAAGGATATAACGGAAAAAAGAAGAAATCCCGATCAGAATAGACAAATCAAATTATCTTATAACCACATATATGAATATATGAATATATATAGGCTGAATTTTGCTTGAGAGAAACCAATAGATTTGATAACATCAAACACATATCTTCCATTTTATACCAAATTATACTATGAAATTTATTATCTGGTCTATTCTCATTAGCATCATGTATACAGCAACGGTCTTGTCATCTCCTCTCAATGAAAGGGTCTTGTCGAAACGCTGTAATCCCGGTGCTGGTATGCACGATTGTTATGACGGCCAACCTTGTTATAGTGATCAAGATTGCGCAGGCGATGTTAAGTGCTTTGAGGGGTGCTGTACTAACTATAGCCACCCCAATAATTCCAAGTGCTAAGTTTTATATTTAAAGTCGCAACCATCGCATGTATATGTTCAAATCTATAAAGAAACAATAAAAACAAAACGAGCAAAACAAGAAAAAATTATTTTATTCTCAACAGTTCAGTAAACTCCTGCAATAGTCGCACCCGCGGTTGTCATAATCGTGTCGTGCTATCTAATTTTAGCAATAGCAAGAGTTTATTGTACGACAATTTACAGTATATGAAATACCATTCTCAATGCATTAGTATACACTACAAATTCACACGCATAAAAGAAGTACACATTATTCCGGAATAAAATACTGTCTTGTGCAACCGGGATATTTCCCATGTACAACCGTCTTTCTAAAATAATATACCGATACGTGTATTTATTTAAAAACATGTGCATATACATATACAATGTACAGTGGCCTATAAAAAGTCACCGGACATCATGTGATCCCCAGTCATTTTACAAATAATACTGTTTATTTGGATTAGATTTTCTCTATAATGACTTTGTTGATTTTATTATTCTTTTTTTCCTTGAATTTACTTTACTTCAACTTTGTAACACGCTAAATTATATCTTCTGAAAGTTTCGAATTAATGAATAAAATTACCAAATGAAAAGAGCTCTCTATTTTTGAGCGTGGAGAAATTGTTGGCGCTTGGAAGTGTGGAATCAGTGTACAAAAAATTGCTGAAATATTAAATCAGTCAAAAAGTACTATACAGGACGTTATTTCTGTTTACCGAAGTTCTAATTGTGAAAACCCTCTTCCCAAAGTGGCAGATCACGTATAATGATTAATCATCATTTATAAAGAATTCTTAAAGAAAATTGATGCACAAATCTTCAAGAACTACGTGAAAACTTTGTTACCTCTACCTCAACTAATGTAAGCATGATTACCATTTAACGTTACTTACATGAACAAGGTATCTTTGGTCAGATTGGAACCAGAAAACTGCTTGTAAATGAAGTTAATTGGCAAAAGAGACTTCTCTGGGTTCAGGAATGGCAAACATGGGAAAAAGAATGGGAAATCATTATTTGGAGCAATGAATCTAGGTTTGAATTATTCAGAGGAGATGGTAAGAAGTATGTTTGAAGACAACCTCATGAAAAATATGATGTTGGGTGCCTTATTTCAACATTTAAATCAGGTTAAAAAGGAGTAATGGAGTGGGGTTGTTTCACAAAAAATGGCCTTGGTCCGTTAGTTAGATTGGAGGGGAGAGTGACAGCCAATGTGTACATAGATGTACTAGAAAACCATTTGTTACCATTCCTAGATACTCTAGATAATAAGGAGGATTATGTTTTTCAGGAAGATAATGCACCTGTCCATACAGCAAGCAAAACTAAAAAATGGAAGATAGAAAATAATATAAGTAGTATTCCATGGCCCGCCCAGAGCCCTGACTTGAATCCCATAGAACATTTATGGGATGAATTAGAAAGACGAGTTCAAATGCATGAACCATTACCCAAAAATTGTGAAGAATTATGGCAAATACTCCAGAACAAAAATCTCGTCGATAGCATGCCACGTCGAGTTGTAGTAGTCATAGCTAGTAATGGCTATCCAACAAAATATTAATAAACAAAATAAAATAGTTTATTTTCATCTTACAAATAAACCAAAATTTGTTGAAATTGATACAGTGGTTGTCAGGCCACTGTACATATCAAACGTTTATATTTAATGAGAATTTGTTATTACTATATTGCACCGATATTGCTAAAAATCTCCCATTCATTTTTTCATCCTAGTGATGCATTACTTTTTGTATTTATTCTTGTTACACATGCAAATCAGGATTTGTGGCGACTGTACATTATCGTGCAACTGCCTAATGTTAGCTTTAGTTTGTCAACTTTAACGTTAACATTTTATCTATCAAAAAAAAAGTAAACTAAAAAAATTACGATGAAAACTGATTTATTAACTTCACACTCTGATAAGTTGGCGAAATTTTATGAAAATGCCAAATACTGCGACATTTCGATCATTGTTGGAGATACTGAGCGAACTTTTACAGCGCATTCATCAATTTTAGTGGCGCAATCGGAATATTTTGCTATCGCTCTTTCTAATGCGTGGGTACAACGAGAACCTAACAAACTGATCGTCTTTAAGAAACCAAATATTGAACCACAAATTTTTGAAATTCTATTAAGGTAACGGTAACCTTTGTTTTTAAAATGATTATCGTTACGTTAAGTTGCAATTAATCTATATGATTTTTATATATAAGATATATATACAGTGGCAAAATCGATTTGTCTGATCATGGAGTGCTAGCGCTTTTAGATTTATTGGTTGCAGCCGATGAGTTAATTCTTGAAGAATTAATTGTATATATCCAAGAATATCTTTTAGAGCAACATTCTGAGTCTATGGTTGAAAGTTTTGCTACGATCAATCAAGTTGCATTTCAACACAACTTTCTAAAACTCCAGGAATTCTGTACAGAAACTATTTGTAAAAATCCGGCTACGATTTTTCAATCCAGCGATTTCGCAAATATTCAAGAAGCGGTAATCATTACTTTGCTAAAACGAGACGATTTGAATCTTGAAGAAATAGAGATCTGGGAAAAGATTATTGAATGGGGAATTGCTCAAACTTCAGCTTCCGGAAACGTTGTTGATTTATCGGTTCCATTGAATCAATGGTCACAAAATGAATTTAATCAACTCAGCTCTACACTCAAAAGCTGTATACCGTTAATTCGTTTCTTTCATATAAACTCTGTTGATTTCTATAACAAAGTGTTG